CGCCCCGGCCTCAGCGCGCGCCCTGTAGCGCGCTGCTTTCAGTACCTTCAGTGTCTGGCTCTACGTGGCGCGGGAGTGGCGCCAGAATTCAAACCAACAAGCGCATTTGGAGGCCAGGCTACTGCCCGCCGCGAGCCAAATCCGCCCAGGACGGACTGGACGGTTCGGGAGTGAGAGTGCACTTGAGTTTTGCAGCGTATAGGGCGGCCTCGGCCTATGATCCAGTCGAGAAGTTGGGTTGGCGGGTTGGCCGGTCGGCTGGCGCCCGGAGGGAGCTGACGCCCAGCGGCCGCTGCACGCCGGGAGAGAGAAATTGGCGGGTAGCATGGCTCGGGTGAAGGAAGTGTGTGGAAGCGCCGCGTTTCTTCTGCTGTCCACGGCGAGAAAACTGCGCCTGCCGAGAGCCGGCCAGCCTCGTTACACTCTGTATTCCGCTCTTAGAATGCTCCCTGAGACAGCAAACCTGAGAGGTAAATATTCCATTTGGCAGAGGAGAAAGCTGAGCCTAAAGCAGCTAAGTAATTTGCCTAAGTTCACACAACCGAAAAGCTTTGCTATTTTAAATTCCTTTTGTAGTAAGCTGGAGAAAGATTAATTTGAGAACTATGGCAGAATACTTTATCCGAACGACACAAAATATTCTGTAGCAACAGTGTATTAATAAGTATGAGCGAGTAAGTATATCTGTATTTGCACACAAGCACACATGACATTTAAACATTTCAGCATTTGAAAATGCAGGTCTTCATAGCGCTTATTACTAATTATGTTGATGTGTTGGTTTTGTCTAAGGAACACATGGTTTTGTGCACTGTTCTTTATTTTTCTATTTAGAACAGTGCCTGGCGAAAAGGTTGAATGAATGAATGAATGAATGAATGAATGAATGAGGTGGCTTTTTAGAAAATTTAAATGAAGACCAAATTCCAGAATAAAAGGTAATAGTGAAAAGCATATTTCTGTAACAGGAACCAAAGTGATGAGGAATTTACAGTACTTGGCTTGGCATTATGTAGGGTTTTAGATACTGTTTTGTAATGTACAATGTAAATTTGCATATTGTTCAAAATAACTAAAACAATACAGACAGATATAAAAAGCAGTAAAAGTTCCTTTCCATGTCATTGGGAATCTTCTCTTCATATTAACAGTAACCACTATTAACACTTTTTGAAGCTTTCTATGCATATACAGATAGTTCTTGACTTATGGTGGAGTTACATTCCAATAAACCCCTCAGTAAGTTGAAAATATCTTAAATAGAAAATGGATTTAATACACCTAACCTGCTGAACATAATAGCTTAGTCTAGCCTACCTTAAATGTGCTCGGAACACTTACATTGGCCTACAGTTAGGCAAAATCATTGAATACAATGAATACAACACAGAGTATTGGTTGTTTACCCTTGTGTAGCTTGCTGCCACTGGCCAGCATCAGGAGACAGTATCCTACCACATATCACTAGCCAGGGAAAAGATCAAACTTCAAAACTTAAAGTACAGTTTCTATTGGGTTCTTATCACTTTTGCACCACTGTAAAGTTGAAAAATTAAGTCATCGTAAGTTGGGAACCCTCTGCACAAATATATGTTCACATTCTTTCACATATAAATAGGATCTATATACATTTCTGCGGCTTGTTTTGTCCCTTCATAAATGTCATAGACATCTTTCCATACTGATGCATATAGATCATTATTCTTGTTTCAAGCCCTCATAGCATTCAATTTGATGTATCAATTTATTTAATCATTTTCCAATTTTTCATTATAATGTTATTGGTGGAGAGAGGCCCTCGTTTCTCTGGTTGCTGGTAGGGGCGTATTTCTTGGAATATCCTGAGAAAAAGAATTTTCTGAAACTCACACGGGAGGATGAGATATTGTAGAATGCTTTATTTCTGTGGAAACAAACCCCTGAGTTTCCAAGGTCCCATTTCCCTTCATCCCCTAAGGAAGAAGCATAGCTGTGCCTTCAGCAGAGCTAGAATCAGAGCCAGTGTCCAGAGTTTTTACTCCATGTTGGAGCACTGTCCAGTCCAGCAGCAGGCTAGCTTAACTTGTGTTCCCAGTTGCAGTCCATTAGTCCATTGTGTGTGCGGTCTGCATGATCACATGGCCATGGAGCAAACATGCCTGAATGCAAGGAAGCAGGAGCAAAACCAAAGGAACCAGTGAGCTAAGAGCAAGCCAAAAGAGAGAATTCCTTTGGTGGATTATGTATCCCCAAATTTTCCTGGGCTTGCAGTGTCCCTGCCTACTCTGGTCAATGATCTCTGTTCCCAGGTTTGACTGAAGGCAAATACCTTCCCTGTGCCACCCCAACTTCACTGTCCATACATCTATCTCCTCTTTGTTGGACCCCGTCCCCCATTGTTTTTCAGGGGATGGGCCAGTGTTTCCCTGGGGAGTGTGAAATTGCAGCTTCCTGGTGAAGTTGCCCAAATGACATGCCTATAATGTCTGGCTTCCTCCTTTGCTCCTTTCCTATTATTAATAACTAGCTAATTACAATGGTATCAATAGTGTCGAAGTGAATTATAAATATGTCATAGTGAGTTTGTGAGAAGATCTGCAAGATCAACTTCTAGAAGTGAGTCAAAGATTATGTACACTTAAATTTGAGATAGATTTTACGTAATTGCTTCCACCTTCCTTCTACTTACACCAAATTGTTGTATTGTGATTATATTTGGAAGTGTGTTTAGCTAATTGAAACACATGAATGACTATTATGGGATGGCAATTATTATATAATTGAAATTGAGAACAGTTGTTCTCTTTGTTACCTTTGAATCACTACTGTACTAAACACTCAAAATCACCTGGACAAAGCAATAAAACAGTGACTCCTATGGTGACTTCATAATTGAATTAGAGAGCTCAAAAGTATCTGATTTCTGGGCCCTATCCTGGAACTACTAAAGCAGAATCTCCAAGAGTGGGACCTGGGAAATATTTTAAACAAGCATCTGGGCAATGCTGTTCAACAGGAACATAACATGAATCATAAATGTGGGTTGCATATGTAATTGTAAATATGCCAGTAGCCACATTTTAAAAAAAGTTAAAAAATCAGATGAAATTCTAATACATTTTATTTAAACCAATATAACCAAAATATTTTCATTTCAATACGTTATCGAGATATTTTACATTCCTTCTTTTTTTGTAGTCAGTCCTTAAAATCTGATGTATATTTTATACTCACAGTACATCTCATTTTGACTATCAAGTGCTCCATTGCCACATGCATAGTGGCTACTATATAGGACAGTACAGGTCTAGGGTGATTTATATACAGATAGAAGTTTGAGTACCACTGTGTAAATGGAATACAGCACACCTAACACATATTCCAGTCTTTTTAAATGAACATTACTTTTAACTCATAAACTAATAACTAACAAATACAATGTGAAATGAAGTGAATTTGGAACCTGATTATTAACAACACTGCCCTCCAGTGAACATGGATGGTGACTGAAGCCAGTACACAACTCATTCAAGATGTTTATCTCTTCAAGGAACTGAAAAACATACTGGGGGATGAAGCCATCAGTCATTGCTCCCCCCACACCTAAAACAGTCAAGCAAATTGCTACCAAATATTTGAAGTGATTTAAGAAGAGGAATTTAGCATACTGAAAATAAATTCTCATATTCTATAACAAACATCCAGATGAGATCATCATTTTAGTAATTTTTTTTTTCCTTTGGAAGAAATGTTCACTGAGCCCTTGGTGCATGGTGTGCTTCAGTGATAGATAATATGAATACACAAAATCCTTGCCCTTCTGAAAGTTTATAGTTTAGTAAGAAGTATCCACCCAACTTTAGACACTTTTGCTTTAAAGATTAGACAGTCATTAAAGAATTTTGGGTA